ACCGAGCAATCTAGGTCCTCACCGGGGTACAAGAGCATATAGAAAATGAAAATGAATCACTCACTCTCGACCAGTGGGGTCAGGACAATTTGATGCGAAAGATGCGCATGCTATTTCTCTCAATCCCTATCATCTCTTCACCATGATGGCAGCCTCTAAATGCTAGAGTTCACATATGGGGTGTCACCACTAACTAATCAGGAGGTCTTAGACACAGGTTCAAATGACTGGCTAGGGTCTTGGACATGGGGAAAAGGCCTTTTAGGTGGTGGAAGTATTCATAGCAAAAGGTTCCACATTTTCCAAACACACAATCACAGTCAAACAACCCGGTATTTTCTTTCTGCTATTCTGCATTACTCAATATCTTAAGAGCACAAGAGCGAAGGAGGCATAAACATCAGCATTTCCAAGCCAGACTGCTAAGAAACACTGCTTACTGGGCATTATTCAGATTTTTGGTAGTGGCTCTCTTTTGCTTTCAATTTTTCTTTGTTTTTCTTTCATTTTTCTTTTCATTTCTTAAGAGAGCCACCACTTCTGCATACATTTCAAACACCTGCCCAACTTTTAAGCACTACCTCCAACACTCACATAGACTTTAGCAGAAACAGCAGAGAATATATAAAAACCACTCTGTGGAACCTTCTAAAAGATGCAACAAGGGTGATTTTTTCCATTATAGACCAAAAGAAAGGATAACACACGGCTCAAAGGGGCTGACTAGGGGATATGACACATCAGGACAGTCAGTTTTGGGCGTGGGCTAATCCTATGCCCCCATCATCTTAGCTAGTGACAACGTGAATGCTACACATCATGGAAGAGGGATCTATCGCACAAAAAAGAAACGAGCAGGCTCAAATCTCACATGGCTACCTATATGCTCTATCTCACATTCTGATACCCTGAACTAGATGCATAAACGACTGTCAAGAACAAGTAATCAGATCAAGTCACAGTTGGCAAGCAAACAGTTGGAAAACTGAACCTCTAAATCGTTCTACTGCACATCTCAGTCCTCATCATAGGTTGTCCTAGTCGCAAACAAGTTGTCATGCATTAATCCGAAAACCAATCAATTCATCCATCAAAACACAGTGCCAATATGATCAAACAGCAGTACTTGGAGCCCTCAAATCGTAAGATTCGGACAGCGGACTAGGCTCCAAGCACCATCATAAATATTCCAACCGATACAAAGCATCCCCCCACACTTAAGCACGACATTGCCCTCAATGGAGTAGAGGGAAAGAGAAGGGGAACGATGTTACCGGATTAAAACACTGTTGGGGGACTGGAAGTGGACCAGTCAGCGGGGCTAGCATCAGCAAAACACACTGGGTGATAGAAACCATAGTTCCAAGTGGATAAACCGACAAAAACAAACAAAAGAAAAACAAACCTTGGTGGGGTTGCCTCCCCACAAGCGCTTCTTTTACGTCTTAGCTAGACGGTGGCTCCTAAGTTTCGGTCCACCCCAAAACCTCCTTGAAGTTGAGGTTCTCATCGATGATGTGGAGTCTCAAGTCACAAGCAAGTGAAGTGATAGGTGATGAAGACGACTCGTGACCTTGAGGAAGATGAAGTCTCCACTCACGAGACCTCTCCTTCGCATCTGCTCTTGTCTCATTGCCCCAAACCAGATAAGATATATTCGATTGACCACCATCGTATCCACCAAGAGGGATTGATGTTGATGTGGTCTTAGTTGGGCAAAGAGACACTGCAAATGGGTCCTTGCCAAGCAGATCCTCGAAGTTTGGTGGAGATATCAAGTGTAACATAGGCTCGGTGCAAGCCTCTTCCACCTCAACTTCATCCTCAGCCTGGACGCCAATTGCCTCCACAACCCCCCTACCTTCTTCAAAATGTGGTCTCTCCCCTTGGAAAAGATCAAGAACTACCTCGTCTTTACTTCCTTCCTCATCCTCCACAACTTCCTTCCTCATCCTTGCTCGCTCTTCTTCTTCCAAAACAGATTGGAGAGCAAGTCGCCAAGCAATTTCTTCAATGGGATCATCTTGCCTCTCCTCGCAAAGGCCCAGCATGCTAGAGCATAAATGAAGAACGGTGTGATCTGCCACCAGAGGAATTTCCTGATCATGATCATTATGGGAGTTCTCTGTGATAACTTCTGTAGGCTGCTCAACGCCCCCACTGCCCTTGTCATACTCCGCCTCTTCTAGCGTAGCAGCAGAAAGGTGATCTTGAGCAGGATGTGAGCAAATTTGCTTCACCCACTCTGTTTGCTTCGCTGAGCACTGAACAGTCTGCTCCATGTCGTGGAGCAATGAGAGATCGGAAGAGTCAAGGGCTTGGATTTGAAGATCCATCTTGGAGCATGCTCTCTCAGTGTCTCGAGTAAACTGCTCCACGAGAAGCCTTAATTGTTTGTTCGGATCTTCCAGTGAAGTGTAGCATGGCTCTGCTGGTTGTGGCAGGAACTCTTCTTGAAAAGAATATTGTTCTTGAGGTTCCCAAGGGTTTGGTTGTTCTCCATAGTAGGGGGGTTGGTACTGACATCCGAATCCATAGTCTTCTCCTCCTTGATTGCTCCAGGAAGTCTCGGGGTAATACCACACGGATGGTGGTTGATACCCCCAATGGTTGGAGAAGCCATGAGGATCCATGTTTCAGAGCTGCACCAACAAAAACATAACACCCAAGTGAAAAGCAAGGGTGGAAAAGAAAAAAAATGCAATAAATAAAAAGCTAGAGTAACAAATTCTCACGTTTCCCCAATAAACTAGAGGGTCCCCGGCAACGGCGCCAAAAACTTGACACGCTAAAACACAACACCTAACAATGGCCAAGTGTAACCAATGAAAGGGACTGCAGTATAGGCAAGTTTAATTATCAACCCGGGGTCTAGATCTACTGCTTACTCCGTGATTCTCTATTATCTAGCAAACTAAGTCGAGTGATGGTTGTGAAAAGTAAAAGCAACAAGAAAGCAGTAAATTGTTCGGGTTTCTAAAGCAGGCAAAGAGTCACTCGGGATTGAGTCCCCCTAGCCCCTTAGTTAGGTTCAATTGCAATTCCCTGGGTTGATTTACTGTTGATTAGACTGCGGAAGATCCGACAGTAGCTTGGAATCTCTTAAGCTGACCAAGCCCTCTCAGTCTAACTACCCGGCAGACGACTAGTCTTCACCGGGATAGAAAACTGAGGCTATGAACACAGAACTCCACTACTGGCGCAAAGAACACCAGTACAAAGCAGTAAACTGGCTAACTCTCGTATAGCCAATCTCCTACTATCGAATGAAGAGGCTCTAACAACCTAATCAGATTCTATCTATCTCAGGTTGAAGCAGAAATTGAGACAAGCTTATCAGACTCAAATCAATTCATGAAACATGCGTCATTCGATTAAAATCAAACAGTAATATCATCCCAAGTCATTACAATCAAATCCCTAACACAAGGAACTAGGGTTCTTCATACCCAAGTGAGAGAAGGGTTCTACTCCATAGAGAGAGAAGAGAAAACAAGAATCGGATTAGTCATACTCATAACGATGAGGATAATCTGCTCCGGGACGATGATTTCCACTCCTATGACGATCTCCAGGCTCGATTCGATGAAATCCAGCTCTAAGACAGCTTCTAGGGTGTGTTCTTCGCACTTTCTCTCTCTAGGGCTCTGTTTTTGCTCTCCAAACACGATTCCCCCACTTCTGGCTCGGATTAGGCTTTAAAACCGGCTTTCCCGAGTTGCACGGCCAGGTGCACGGCCGTGCACATCACCATTCTGGCCGTGCACCCTGAAACGTGCCGTTTCACTTAATTCGATCTCAGCCTTCTTGCACGGCCAGGTGCACGGCCGTGCAAGGATCCCGGCCAGCCCATGCATGTACTCGGCCAGAGGCGCACGGCCATAATTGCACTTTGCACGGCCGTGCGTCTCCATGGTCTGGCCGTGCGGCTCCCCAAAAAGCTCGCCCTTCGTCCGTTCTTCGTCCAATCGACCCCAGACTCGCTCCTAAGCCTTCATTCACGTACTAGGACCTGAAATAACACAAACAAGCACAACCTAGCGTGAAATCGGCCTAAAACACGAGAATCAACACCTCAAACGGTGTAAGTATGAGGATAAAAACATGTGTAAATGACGGTCTATCACCCCTGCAGTGTTGAAGTGTCGAGCAATCATTTCTTCTGCAACGGAGAACAGCGGATGGCCTATACATGATATTGACAGTGAAAAATAGAGGACTGACCTTTTTATCGAGCAATAGGTGATGTACTTCATGATTTCTTGTGAATAATTCCTGCCATGTATGCAGGTGCCTGACCTCAATGGGATTTTTGGTGTAACCAAGGTGCAGGCAGCGGATCTTTGTTGCTTGGCTCATGACTGCAACTCGATCGCTGGAGTGGCGCAACTTTCCCCGAGTGTCAAGAAGCGAGCTGATAAGTGTGCCCTACACAGGATCAGGCCAGGTTTATCGTGCTGGTTGTTTTTTGCTAGTTAGGCTTGGATGCGTTTTCTCGGATGTTGGGCCCAATACAGTTTTGTGGGGGGGAAAACATGATTTTGATGGGCTTCATTTTCCACGGCCCATAATTGTTTTGTAATTAAAGTCTGCAGTGATAAGGATATGGCACAAATTCGGACCAATTGTCAAAGGAATATAGGACTCTACTATATTGGAAGAGAGTTACAACATGTTTCAGAAGCAAACTGATAGAGGAACTTGTTTCAATGGTTATGTTTGCGGACTCTCGAAGTACAAAATGGATGCAAAGAACAATTGTAGTCAACTTTGAAAGAATCACAGGCATGTAGAGAATGATTGGTGTTGTATCCTTGCTGATTCCTGTAACTGTGTAAAGGGAATACAATATATTAGGATATGACACATGCAGCAATTTATAGTTTTATCATGAAAGAAGTTTTCATGTAAGATTACCAGCTTAAGGCAAAAGTACACCACATCGGCTACTGCTTTGTGTGGTGCAACCTCATGTTCTGTCAAGTTGAAATCAGGAACTGTTAACAATGAAAAGTACTCGCTGAAGTAATCTCCCAAGAGAAAAGGTAGTATCGAAACAATGCTGCAACACACCTTCCAGTAGCTGGTACAACAGAGCATGATGCACCGCCAAGGGTATCAAATGTTTCTGCATAAACAATGTTCCTTGTGTAGCCTGCATGAATATGGTCTTCGTTTTGAATGAGAAACTTCAGGCCATCAGCTGATCTAACTCTAGAAACAGCAACATATAATTGGCCATGGCTGAACACCGGCTTCGGAAGGAAGACGCCCACACGATCCAATGTTTGTCCTTGACTCTTGTTGATTGTCATGGCGTAACAAAGACGAATAGGAAACTGTCTCCTCTTTAGCACGAAAGGCCAATTATGATCATTTATGTTGACAACAATTCTCGGTATGGCAACTACTGACCCATCATATGTGCCACCCATGATCAGTTCCTTGATTACATAAGTGGACAGGTACGTGACCATGATTCTTGTACCATTACACAAGCCTATATTTGGATTGAGGTTTCGTAACAACATAATTGGTGCGAATATTTTTAGGCTAATATCATGATAAGGGAATCCACTGAAAGATAACTTTGGTACCATTACAAAAGCCGCTCCACAGTATTGGCATGTTTCTGTTGGGAGGCCAAAGAGGAGAATGTTGTCGACATTGTGTCACCTTGACTGTGGAAGTGATGTAGTTTCATTGGCTGAAGTTGCAGTGGGCTGTGTCTGTGGCAGAAGCTGGGCATAGGTGTGTCCGTGGTCGCTGTAGTGGAGATCGTTGGGTTCAGCGTGTAATGGAGAATCAGCGTCCCGCAAGAAATTGAAAGCTCTAGAACGTACATCAATTCTCGATCATCTAGTGGCGTTGGAGTTAGTTGTAGTGGCGTTTTTGGAAGGAAAGTGGGATCGGCATTGTTGCGCCGCCGTTTCTTTGGTGTTGGGGGTGTAGGGTGTGGAGCGGAAGTAGCATGGTTTGTCTGTAAAATGGCAAGTCACGTTGTAAGCAATGGAAAAGGGAAATTTCATGAGCAGAACAGAGATTAATTGTAGCGAACTTTCGTTGGTGGGTACGCTTTAAATGTATGCACTGTAAAGGGAAGGACAGAACATTTTGGAAGCAAAATTCCAGCAAAGAACTATAAATGCAGCAAATGGCATGGTAATTTGTGAGGAAAAGGAAAAGACATGAGTGAGATCAAAGCATTACCATGTATTTGTGAGGACTGTTCAAAATGCAGGAAATGTTGGAAGCATCTGGCAGGGTACTGGGATCTCCACGCATACAGTTTGTTGGTGAAAGGGAGAAAGGTGTAGTAATTACAGTGGTTGGAATGGGGAGGTGTAAAAGTAAATGCAGAGCAATGACAGTAGGTTGTGATGGAGGAAATGAACAGAAGCAAGGTTGGGGGTGGGTGGGGGGGACGATCTGGAGGGTGAAGTGGTATTGTTTACCAAGGTTAACAAACCACAGTGAAATGTGGGTGATTAGGGTAGCGTATATGGTAGTTCCAAGGTCTGCCCATGCTCTGACTTGCATTTAATGCACGAACGTGGAAGGGTAGTTGGTGCAAGGTATGGACCGCTAGGTAAAGCTTACTTTAGAAGGGTTTTTTTCGGACTAACTGGACAACAACTTAGTGGCATCGCTAGTTTGTGTTTAAGCTTTCTATAAAAACCTGACATGGCGTATCAGTGATGTGGCAATGTTACATTGGTGTTTGAGTTTGTGTTATGTTATGTTGGGTGATGAACAGCGAAGGGTGGGTGTAGCATAAACGAAGGCGTTTTGGAAACGGTACTGCGCAGCAGATGAAAATGAGAAACATTCACGTGAACTTGCGGCAAGGATCTGTAACGATAAAGATAGGTAGCAAGATAGTACGAATCTGGCCAGGTAGAGGGAGGATTGAAAGTAGTTAAGTTACAGACTCGTAATTAAAAACCTGCAAACAAAATGCACGTAGGCCAATCCACAGGCAAGGAAGTTAGGGCAAAAGCACTGTTTGGTTTGTTTGAAACTAAAAAGGTCGATGTTCTAAACCGTCAAGAGTCGAGAGGTGATGGTGGAGAGCAAGGCAAGCTAAGAGTAGCTAGTCCTCAAACAGGCACCGCTTGGCTGGTTTCTTGGATGGCAATTTGGAAGACCCCAAAGGCTTCTTCAAAACAGAGATTGCGGCAGATTCAGTTGCCTTGATAGAAGGCTTGCGAACACGTTTCGAGCTAACAGCGGTGTTCTGGTCATCTGTATGGAGTAGAGGATATAGGTGATCATTTGGAGAGGGTTGTTGGTGTTCCTGTTGATCAGGAGGGATTCCAGAACCCTTGATGATGGCCTTGCCTTTGGCCAAACGACCTTTACCTCTTCGGCTGGTGGACTTGAGGCTGAAAGTGAGATGGGAAAAGGGGAAAACAAAGCACTCAGGAAGGATCGTAAAAAGGAGCGTTAGATAAACATCTTAGTTTTATAATTGGTTGGCTTACGAAGCAAGAGTCTGAGAAAGGCCTGAAGACGGACTACCAGTAACCTCCTTTGGGATGTCAGCTGTTGTTGGTGATGGAGGTAATTCCTGAGCTTGAGGTGTTGCATGGGAGCTCTTCTCACAAAAGAGACTATGCAATCATCACTGGCGGGACTTCCCGGTGCTGTATCTGGGCTCCTATAAGGGAATGGGAGGCAAGGACAGCAAAAAAAGGTAAGGAATGCAGGAATGTGCAGTCTGTGATGTAGTTGGATGGGTATAAGATGATGCGTTGTAAGAACACTGTTTGTAGGCGCAAAGCATGTTACCGGAAGCGTTCAGCTGTGGAGGATCTTTTCCCAGCAGAGCTTGCTGGTACCGAAGCTTTCCTAGCATGCAAAACAAAAAAAATGAATGACTTGGGATTGAATCGCAAGCATGAAATGTGCTGCAGTTCCCAAAACTACCTTGAATGTTCTTCCCCAAAGGTTGTTTGTGGGCAGTTCTGGGAGTGGTTGGAGGAATTCTCGAAGGTAGTTAAAGCAACCGGTAAACGGCAAGCGGTACTAAATGAAGTTTAAGAACTAATTATGTAGCTTGAGAGATGAAAAAAACCTAGGCTGCACAGGAGAGCTGGTAGGTTTTTTAGCAGAGCACAGCGTGGAAGAACCAGTCCTAGTAACGGGAAGTACGGATTAGCCAGAGGAAAGAGCAAAATGTACAGAGTGCATAAGGGGAAGTTAGCAGTAAGTGAACCTTATGCTTGTTGCAGAAGTGGGAGTAGTCGGAGCAGAAGTCCGACCAGCAGCAACTTGTCTGCAGCAGCAATGGAATGGACGCACTAGTGAATGTGGTTGTTGAAAATGGAAAAGGTATGCGATGTATGTGTGTGACAACTACCTGAAAGTCTTCGGTGAAGCATCCATGGAAGTTCCGAGAAGCATGTGAGAAAGCAATAAAAAACAGTAGTCAATAGGAAGCAAAATAGAACTGGGCAAGGTATATAATAATAATATAGGGCGGGACCTTGAAGAGGAACTGGTGCGGGCAGGAGACAGAGTAAGGGCTCGGACTGGAGAGGCAAGGGGGTTGTGGAAAAGAGCAGGCACAGCAGTTTCGAGGAGATTGGCTCTGATAACGCAAAATTCAAGCGTGCCTTTGCCAATGTAGTCTGCATTAGGGAGCTGTATGTCGAAGGCAAGTTTCTGATCCTGTATTGCCAAGATGGCTGGGGGCAGCTCTGAGCGGCCAAATGGGAAGCGTTCTGAAAGGTCATGCGCAGTAGCCCCAAAGAGGTTTTCGGCAGACTTTCCAAGCAACACGAATATGCCAGTTGAAGTACCATCGTCCACAATTATGCGAGTCTTGTAGCTGGTTGAAATGGGAAATTGAAACCGAAAATGTAAGAATGCGTTGTGCAAAGCAGAGTAAAGCAAAAACAAAGTGGTAACGTGGTAAAGTGTTGCGGAGAGGCAGGAAATCGTAATGTGACTTCAGATGCCGAAATCCTGCGGTGGAACTTGCACCAATAATCAGTCTCATATGGGTCAGCAACGGAAGAGCAGAATGCGCAGCCAATATAATACCACTGTTTCGAAGAGTCCACGCCAACAACAGTGGCTTCGCAATGGTACTGAGTTTCCTGATGGAAGAATTAAACATGAGTAAAAAGCAAAAGGTGTGAGGAAGTTTTGGTAAAGCAAAGAGAAGCAACAAACATCAGGTTGGCCGAGGTCATTGAGGTCCAGACGTTCCGCAATTGTCCGAGTCGCAGTAGCTTCGAATTCAGTTGCTGCCAAGGAGGTGGGAAATCTAGGCGGAATATACGTGATACTGTCTCTGAGGGCGTGGAAGCTGCAGGCAAGCGAAAACAGTCAGCCTGACAACTGTGAATCATGGTAGAGGGTAAAAGCAACAACTCACGCAGATTCCAGTTGGTAGGTGGCCTCTGCTGGCAGCGCCAAAGCATGCCGAGTCGCAAAGGTGCTGGAGAGTGAGTACTTATCTGCAAGCAAGAGTGTAAAAGTGAGGAAGGTACGTGGTGGGCAAGAAGGGGCGCTGAATGGCACGGACTCGCTGGGTAAAATTCGGTGCAAAGTTTGGAATTAAATTTGGAATGAGTAACAACATTTGTAACCTCTGAACTGGCTGACCGTTAGACCGGTGATAGCTAGTATCACAGGTCCCTTGCGACCAAGGCTTGCAAGTTCGATAGCGTCGATAGAGCCTGCAGTGGCCCCCAGAGTGCAACGTTGACCTGAGTTAAGCTGAAAGAGACAGTGTTGAGCGAGACAGGGGTTACTTTGGTAGAACGCAAATGCAATGGTGAACAGTTAATTCGAAGAAAATGTACATGGTAAAAGCTAAAGAATGGAGGAAGCAGAGGGAGGACCCCCGTAAAGGTAACACACACTGGGCAGGAGGTTGCAAAGGCCAAACGTTCAAAGAGGGTCGGGCAAATGAATAGCAGTAATGAACCCACAAATCAGTAGACCACATAAACAGCAACTATGTAAGCTAGCAAAGGCGACACAACCAACAATCTAAGGGTTGAGGGGAAACCTTTCATTTTCGAGGACGACATTCTGCCTAGTTGTTCTGCCGTAGTTGGTTTTTGAGTGGTTAACACCTGTGATGCTAACAACCCTGCCAACGATGTCTGCACGAAGGCAACGGGAGTACTGAGCGGGGTTACGTTTGGAGAATTCCAGAGTAAGTGCAAAGCACCAAACCTGTTAGCTGTGATGAGTTGAGCGTCCTCGGTGAAGAGAGCCGAAGGGAACAAACTCGAAAGAATCGGTCAAGAAGTCAAGTGAAGAAGCTGTCTGGTCTTCAAAAGTATTATTGCGGGAGAGGACGATGTGCATGCGGTGGGAGCAGGGCCTGTAAACATTGCGAGGAGGCTGCAAATTGAGGCCACCGACAACGTAGACCTTTCCCACTTCTAGGAGCTCGTTGAAATGATCGGTGAGAGCGGTAGGTGCCTGGCCATGTATGAGGGTTCCCTGTGTAAGCATAAAGTCAGATTACAATTGGCAAGTGAGGAAAATCTAGATAAGTTGGGTAATTAGTTCCGGTGAGTCGAGCTTACGACTGCGTCGCTCCAGAGGGTGCAGTAGTTGAAAAACTTCGTTGGGTCTGATGGGGCGTACGACAACCAAAAATGCAGTAGGCGAAGCTTCAGTTGATGGATCGGTCCCTGTCAGTGACGTCGAGCAGAAGCTTATGAAGATCCCAACATGGCGGGGATTTTTGCGATGTTTCCGGCGACATCTGGCGTTTGCGACTTCGGTTCTTCGATGCTCGCGGCATGACGGTTGTTTGGGAGGCTGGACGGCAGCTTGAGTTTTTAGGTTTGTAGGATACAGGATCGATTTTGCGGTTTCAAAGTGGCGGAGACCCAGGATTCCTCCGAGAGTGTCTGGAGGTACCAGCAGGTTGTTTGGTGTGGAATGATTTTAGGGCAGAGAGTAGGATGAATAATGGGTTGGGGTAATTTTGGAGGAAGGGCCAACGGACAAAGAGGAGGAAGAACCATCGGATAAAGAGCAGCATTACCTTGGAGGTTCTCTTTTCTCTGACGACGAAGTGACCGGGCGGCGATGTCGAGAGAAGGAGTAGTGGAGCTTCTAAAAGGTAACGAGAAAAGATGGGTGGTACAGGATTTGCGTGTAGGGGTGGGTGTGGGAAAAGTCTGTTTTGTGTGCAAAGAGGAGGTGTGTGTGCTTGGAAAGGAGTGAGGAGGAGGTGAAGTGAATGGGTGAAGTGAATTGCAGCAGGAGGAACGTATCTAGCCCGCCAGAGAAGATGAATACCCAGCGTTTCTTGAGAGGCGAGTGGGGTAATAAAGAGTCTCACGAATTCGTGTAGAGGGCAATGCGGACACATGGGCCGGCGAAGCAGAAACGAGTGGCGGAAGACCATTCGCAGCAAAGAGTTGGGGGCCACTCATGAACAGTAGCAAGCAACTTTGGCTTTTATATATCAACTTGTCCGCAGGAAATCCACTCACAAATGAACAGTGAAAATTATTATAGTAGACGCGATTAATTTGTAAGCAACAGTGTTTTATACTTGCGCCATAATTAATTAATAATAATTAATTAATTGAGTATTAGACCAATCCAACAAAAGAGAACAACCTTGAAACTCAAAGCTTACATAATATGGAGATTGATAAAAAGCCAGATGATCATAAACGATTACAACCCCAAAGCCACACGATTCCAAGCCATTGCACAACAATCATAAAAGACTACCAAACTCATTTATTCGAACAACGAATTAAACTCGATGTCCTAATTCCTATATGTAGCATATAGATTAGCACCTCCCAGCTTCTTTGTCATAGACAATGGTGGCATTCAAGCTTCCAATGTCCCTGGAATAACACACTTTGCCATTGTAATCAACATTCTGGTAGCTGTACGACTGCTTCATAACCTGCAGCGGGTCGAGCCTCTTGTAATTGTTGACAACCCAGACGCTACTTCCACTCTGTTCATCTTTCAAGCTGCTGGCCTTCGATTTAGAACTCGAATTCTCGTACGAAGTCTTCTCGTCACTGTACCCTGTGCTAAAATTGTTCATTCTAACAAAATTGCCATCTCCTCCCACCAGTACTAGTCCATCACTCGTCGTGAGGCTAAAGTTCTTCATCGACTCTAACGAGTAATTATGGTCGTCGTCGTAGTGGTCGTTAACAGAATTCGTCACAAATGATGAAACGCTGTCGTTTGAAAGAATCAACTGCTCCACCGTGACACTGTAGTTGCCCCTGGAGTCGAACCCGATGTCCATGTAGTTGGTGTAAGACAAGTTTTGTTTGACATGAGTGGTGACGTTACCGTGCGAGGAATTTACCCATCCTTGTGAGGATATCATCCTCTGTGCTCCGACCCACGATTCCCCGATCAATCCCTCCATCTTCACCGTCGATGATAGATCGAGCGGCTGGCTGTAGCTCGACACGAGCTCCCCCTTCGTCTTGCTACTTTTTCGGTCCAACCAAAGGTGCAAGTTTGCATCGACGTACCATACGCTCGCCGCGTTACCTATGCCGAAACTCAAGTTGTGCACTCCTCCGTCTAGGAGAGTGCCTAGAAATGGTGTCAATTCGACGTCGTAGGAAGGGAGATCGAACGAGCGAATGCTGGCGATGGGATTCCATATACTATCCGATGCGCCATAGATCACTGGGTAAGGCCAGATGGAGCCGACTACGACGTCGTCAAGGCGGATCACTACATCTCTGAATGGTCCATTTGCATACAAGTCCACGAATTGGTTGGAGTTGTAGTACTCGGAGGGATAATTCGAGTACCAGAATTTGTCGACATCGTGGGACGACACATAAACCTCCAGCACGGCCCTGTAAGCATTTTGAGGAATCCTGAATTCCTTCAGCTTTGCATCAGTTGAGTTCTCAATTTGGAACCACAACCCATTTTTCGATTCGAGGTTTCGAGAAATGGGTAGTATGAGATCAGCCATTGATGACTCGCTTCCGAATCCCAAACTAAATTTGTTTGGAACTCTATGTGACTGCTTGTGCTGCAGGGGATAGTATGAGATGCTGATTGTGACGTGATAGACTGAAGTGAAGTCGAGGAAGTTACGACCCGAGTTGCGAAAGGAAACGGCGAGCTTCTGCGTCTGTTTCTTGAGCAACAAGGAAGAGTACCTCGTGATGTCCTTACGTGCTGTCCAAGCAACTGATGTATTGAAACCTTGTGCAGGGGAGCTGCGAAGAAGCTCCACGCCGCCCAACCAGACACCGAAGACCGTGTCCTCGCGTGTCTGGTTGCAGGCTCCCTTCCATTCCATGACGATCTTAGAGAACGCAGTGGAAGCACAACGCGAAGGAAGCGCATAATCGACCACGACCGAGGGGTTGCCGCCCTGGCGATGGCCAGTAGAGCCAAATTCGTGTTGGAGGAGGAGTTGCTTGCAAGGCACGGTATTGGGGACATCGATGGGTTTGGTTACTTGGAAACCTGTTTTTGGTTTGGGAGACTGTTTCAAAGGATTGTCTGCTGAGAGTTTCGAAAGCACGTGTCTTGGATTCAGGCTATGGAGATTTGGGTTGGCTATGGAGTTGTAAGGGCACGAGATTAGGAACAACAGAAAAAGAAGTGGAGAAAAGCCAGCCATTGCAGCAAAGTTATAACTAAATCGTCTATGAAAGACTTGCAACTATCAGTTTTATGTTGAAGCTATATATCTTAATCTGATCTACGTTTCCTTTTATAGCAGAATATCAAAGGAGACTGTTACATCAAATATGTTTGATGATGCTGGACGTAGCTTTTACCATCAGCTAGTCCATTTCCAACATTTTGCCGGCTCTCATAAAAGAAAAATTGGGTAATATATATAGAAAGGATATATAAAAGGACAAATAGAAAGGAGATACAACAGAAAGTTGATTAATTTAATTTGCATTGACTGGTCTACTCGATCGAGCTATAGCCAACAATAGTACAACACTACTTGTGATGTCTAGCTAGTTGTTTATTTTGTATCACATCGATATTATTACAGAAGATTAATGGATTTATTAACAAAGAAGCAGATTGGATAGAACAGAAATCCTAGAATCTTATTTTCTCATTGCAATTGTTCGCCTTTATAGGCAGTACAAACTGGAAGAAGACAAGCTCCATAGTTGAGCTTGTTTGATAGCTTGAAACAGAAAACATAAGTGACTTGGCGGAAAAGAAAGTACAACTAAAAGGGGAAACAACGGACGACATCGTTTGGTGAAGTCTCGGTTCCAGAACGACAGCGCAGCGGACAATAAGCCTCCTTCAAATCCAAAACGACTGCACATCGAATAAGAAGCACAAAGAATTGAAAACGTTGCCGTGTAAGAAATCGACCGTTGGAGAAGAGGGAAAAGATTTTCAATCTAATACCCCCCCCCCCCTCTCGCAAGCCGGTGGGCAGAGATTGCGCACACCGAGCTTGGAGAGCAGCACATGGAATGGAGCTGGTGAGAGCGGCTTGGTGAAGAGATCTGGTAATTGGTGAGTGGACGAGACATGAAGGAGCTTGAGCTTCCCGGATTGGAGTTTTTCTCGCACGAAGTGGCAGTCCAACTCGATATGTTTCGTTCTTTCATGGAAGGTGGGATTTTTGGCAATGTAAATTGCGCTCTGGTTGTCGCAATAGAGAGCAGCTGTAGCAGAGGAAGATGCCTTGAAATCCTGTAGGAGGTATTGCAGCCACTGAATCTCACAAGATGTGTATGCTAATGCCCGATATTCTGCCTCACAAGAGGATCTTGACACGGTGTGTTGCTTCTTTGTCTTCCATGAAATTAGGGAATCTCCCAAGTAAATGAAGAAACCAGTGGTGGATCGCTGGTATCGACACAAGCTGCCTAGTCAGAATCAGTGAATGCCTTGATTTGAAAACTACCTTTGGAGGGGAAGAACAAGCCTGTGGCCGGTGCAGATTTGAGGTAACGAATGATCCTGAGAACTGCTTTGTAGTGAGTGACTGTAGGAGAGGACGTGAACTGGCTGAGCTGCTGTGTAGCATAGCTGATATCAGGACGTGTAGTTGTGAGATAAATTAGCTTGCCAACAAGGGCTCGATAGAGTTCTGGATCCTCAAAGAGAACATCAGGCTCAGAAGTGAGATGTGTTTTGTAATCCATAGGTGTTGTAGCAGCCTTTGTATCCAGAACATTGGCTTGTTCAATGATTTCCAATGTATATTTCCTCTATGATATGTGAATGCCAGATGAATTCCTTGCCACTTCGATGCCTAAAAAGAACTTCAAATCTCCCAAGTTTTTTATACTGAACTCATTGTGCAGGACAGTCTTCAGATTTTGAATAGCAGCTAAATCATTCCCTCCTAGGATCAGGTCATCAACATAGATCAGGATACAAGTGTAGCTTGTATCTGTTGCTTTTAAAAAAGTGAGTGATCTGCCTTACTTTGAATGTAACCAACTCGAAGTAAAGTATCAGTGAGCTTAGAAAACCATTGTCTTGAAGCCTGTTTTAGACCATAGAGGGATTTCTTGAGGCGGCATACAGGGTTGGGGATGCCAGGGGGTGGTGTGAAGCCTTTAGGAAGATTCATATAGACTTCTTCATCTAGATCAGCATGGAGGAAGGCATTATTCACATCCAACTGGTGAATATACCAATTCCTCATAACTGCAATGGCCAAGAAGGTTCTAATGGTAGTCATCTTAATCACAGGAGCAAATGTGTCCTGAAAATCAAGACCTTTCTGTTGATTGTTGCCTTTGGAAACCAATATGGCCTTGTGTCTTTCAAGAGAGCCATCAGAAAGGAATTTATCCTTATACACCCACTTGTTTCCAATAGGTTTCTTGCCTGGAGGAAGAGAGACCACATCCCATGTATTGTTTTGAACAAGGGCTTTGATCTCAGATGTCATAGCTTGATTCCAAACATCTAATTTAGATGCTTCTTTGTATGTTTGTGGCTCTCGATGAGTGGAAATATTAAGGAGAAACCTTTTGTGAGTGGGACTGAGCTTATCATAAGAAAGCATAGAGGAAAAGGAATACCTGGGGTCAGTGACCTGCTGCAGAGTTTGGTGATTGATTCTGCTAGAACCTTGTGCAAGAAAGCAGTGGTAGTTCTGTACCAAATGTGAAGGTGGTTTGGTAGTCCTTTGTGATTTACGTAGGGGTTGAGGGGGCTGAGGTGGAGAAGGTGGAGGTGGATAAGGAGGAGAAGGAGGAGGGGAAGAGGAAGTGCTAGGAGATGAAGTAGGGGTTGTAGGAGTGATAGAGGGAAGTGGATTTTCTGTTAGAGGAGGAAGGGTAGGGGGAGGTTGAAAGGGTGGATCATCATGAACAGGTGGAGATTCTGGTGAAGGTATGGGAAAGAATAAGTCTGGGGTAGAGGAAGGAGTATCAGGAGCAGAACTGTGTTTGTATGGAAAAAATGATTCATAGAAGATGACATCTCTAGAGACAAAGATTTCATGAGATGATAGATCATATAGTTGATAACCTTTTATCCCAGGAGAGAAGCCAAGAAAGATTGCCTTTCTGGCACAAGGTTGAAATTTTATTCTGTGATTAGCTAGAGTGCTAGCATAACACAGACATCCAAATACTCTGAGGTCTGAAAGGTCTGGTGGTTTGTTGTATAGAATGTGAAATGGTGTTTTGTGGGAAAGAACTGGTGAGGGAACCCTGTTAATTAGGAACACTGCGTGTTTAACACAATCTCCCCAAAAGGCAGGTGGCAAATCAGCTTGAAACTGAAGAGCTCTAGCAACAGCCAATATGTGCTGATGCTTCCTCTCAACCTTGCTGTTTTGTTGTGGGGTTTCCACACATGACATTTCATGAATGATACCAGTGGAGGTGAAAAATTCAGGCATGAGAAATTCTTTGCCCTGATCACTCCTAATGGTTTTAATTTTTGTTTGAAATTGGCGTTCCATTTGAGTGCAGAATGAAATGAGCTTAGGTCTGGCTTCATATTTCAGTTGAAGCAAAATGATCCATGTCATTCTAGAAAAATCATCAACCACAGTGAGAAAGTACTTAAAACCATCATATGTTGGAACTGGGTTAGGACCCCAAATGTCTACATGAAGGAGTTGGAATGTAGAATGAGTTACAGAATGACTAGAAGGAAAAGGAAGCTAGCCTTTTTTGCTTGGCAAAATGGCAGACATCACATGGCTGATCTCTCTGAGTGGTAATGGAGGTACAAAATTGTTTGAGTATGGAAATTTTAGAGTGGGAAACATGTCTTAGTCTAAAATGCCACAAATCAAAATGGTTGGTAGAGACAGCAGATATCATCTTAGGTAAAAGAGAGGCTTCAAGGTAGTAAAGCCCATTGCTGAGGTTAGCAGAACCAATCACCCTCGTCTGCTGCAGGTCCTGTATGAGACAAAGTGTGGAATGAAAGGTTAAGCAGAGGGTATTGGTGGATGTTAATTTGCTGACAGATATAAGGTTGAAGGTGAATTGTGGAACAAACAAGGCATTAGTCAAGATTAACTCATCATTGCAGGAGGCTGTGCCTGAATGGGTTGCTTGAATCTTTTGGCCAGTTGGTAGGGAAATAAATACATTGGTTAAGGGAACAGGATCCTTAAGGTAAGCCAGAGAACAAACTATATGGTCTGAAGCACCTGTGTCAAGTATCCATCTAGGAGTGGTGGAAGTAGAAGCACTGAGGATAGGCAAGGGAGAAGTAGTACCATGATGGGTGACATATGCTGCACCAGAAAATGATGAAGAAGTGCTCTTTGAGTTCATGAGACTCATAAGCCTATCATAATCAGATCGAGTCAACTTCACTTCATCATCAGAAGTGGTAGCAGCATTGACAGCAGGTCTTGACCGAGGAGGAACAGAAGAAGGGGGGGCCTTGGTACATAGTTGGGAGGGTAACCATTTTTCTTGAAACATTTTTCTTCAGTATGACCTCTTCTCTTATAGTAATTGCATATGACTGGTGTACCAGTAGTGGGAGAAGAAGTTCTGGTCATACCAGGTGGCCAGCCATACTTTTGAAAGCAGATGTCTTCTGTATGACCTTCTCTGTTGCAGAAGGTGCAGAATGGGGGTTTGGAATTGGGGCGTCTGTTAGCACCTTGAATGGCTGAGACTGATGACTCAGTCTGAGCAACAGCAACTGGTTTGGTATAATGGGAACTGAGAATCTGCCTTTCATGCTGAAGCATGCGTTGAAATACCCTGTTTATGTTTGGCAGATCTTCTCCAAATAGAACTTGGGCTCTCACACCAGAAAAGTTCTCATTGAGGCCACGAAGAAACTTGATTACATAGCTGGTTTCTTGGTACTCAAACACTTTAGCCATAGCAGCATAGTCTAGGTGACTAGTAGGAGTACAAGTGCAGGGGAACAAAGGTTGATAGTTTTCTAACTCATCCCTGAGGGTTATAACACAACCATAGTATTCTGTAATATATTGATTACCTTGCTGGAGAGAAGACAGTGCTTCTTCAAGTTCAGCTATGCGAATCAGATCACCAGAACCATAGCGTGTCTGGAGGCTTTTCCAAGCTTCAAATGCAGTCTTGCTAGAGAGAATGGTTTTTCTGATCTCGACGGAGGAAGATTGCTGGATCCAGCTCAGAATCATGACATTGTTACGTATCCAAGCACCATGTC